CCATGAAGTCATTCTGACTCATAGCAACCCTACAGGTCAGAGTAGAACTGCCCCATAGGGTTTCTAAGGAGCAGCTGGTGGATTTGAACTGCTGACCTTTTGGTTAGCAGCCAAGCTCTTAATCCGTCTCTTCATTTTGCATTATCTTTTCATTGTTTCACAGTGCTTTTATCATGTTCAAAATACTCCTAAATTTCGGTGATACTGAAGAAAATGCCAAGTTATAACCATGAGAAAAAAAAAGAGAGAGTGAAGAAAACATTTAATCATCATCATCTTAATTAGCCTGAAAAATAGAAAAGCCCATAAGGGCAACAATAACGTTAATGAGCAGTTATTATCTGCATACTTTAATCACTGACCATGTTCTAAGTCTCTGAAATTCTAGGAATACGTTTCCTCAGAAAAATCTAGAGAATGAGTTCTTGATTTTCTAACTGTAATATAACTTCAATGAATTTCAACTCCCAAGTAAAAAGGACAAAGGGTCTTGTTTACTTCTAACTTCAAGAAAACCAAAGTAATCTCAACTGTTATTAACAGCATTAATAAAAATGATAAGCATAAAACTTACCATTACTTATTTTAGAACAGCATATAAGAGTAGTTAACTTAAAGATCCCATTGTAATTTAATTTTTATTTGTCTATAACAGCTCACCTGGTACAAAAAATTCTGTTGGTGTAAACCAATGAAATTCCAAATGGAATCCCAAGCGAACAGCCTTCAAGGTGACAAGGAAAATCAAAAAGAGCACGGATACTGTGCCTGTGAGAAAAAATTCAGAAATTGTTTATCATCTTTGTGAGTTTTACAGGCTTTTTAAAAATCAAGTTTAGTTTCCACATTCTCAGCAAAGTATGGAAAATTTTTATCTTCTGAGTCCACTGATTACCCCAACTAAAACCCAGATGGGATCTAAAAACTAGCTTGGTTTCCAGGAAAACAGCTAAGTGAGTTATCAGAAAATGAAACAAAGAAGTCCCTCAAAAACTATATAGTAGACCTAAGATGAACTAGATGAAGGTAAAACTGAATGCAAAACTGCTTTATTTACTTATGAGCTGAGTTTAATGGAGCATACAAACAGAGAAACCATTATAAAATTGTAAGGTTACATGATACAACATGAAAAAGACTTTTATTCTTTGTATTTGAAGTGTTAGACAATAGGCTGGAAAAGACTGTCACAATATTAGTGTAGGATGATAAAAAAGTGCAGAAAGAAAAGTAATAAATGTGGATCATAAATACTTTTGAAAAAGCTAATTGTCATGGGTTGAATTATGTCCCCCAAAACATGTGCGTATCAATTTGGCCGGGCCATGATTCCTGGTATTGTGTGATTTTACTATACGTTGTAAATCCTGCCTCTATGATGTTAATCAGGGAGGATGGGTGGCAGTTGTGTTAGTAAGGCAGGACTCAATCTACAAGATTGGATTGTGTCCTGAGGCAATCCTCTTGAGATATAAAAGAGAGAAGTGAGCAGAGAGACAGGCGGACCTTATACCACCAAGAAAGCAGTGCCAGCAGCAGAGTGCGTCCTTTGGACCTGGGGTCCCTGTGTGGAGAAGCTCCTAGTCCGGGGGAACACTGATTGGAAGGCTGACAGAGGGAGAAAGCCTTTCCCTGGAGCTGACGCCCTGAATTTGGACTTTCAGTCTACTTCACTGTGAAGAAATAAATTTCTCTTTGTTAAAGCCATCCACGTGTGGTATTTCTGTTGTAGCAGCACTAGGTGACTAAGATACTGATAAACCAAATAATAACCAATGAACAATCTGCTCTAGTGCCTAGATGAAGTTTTGATTGGGTAATACTATTTGTGATGGAAAGATTCCAGATTCCAATCCAAGGTATCATAAATATAATAGATACGGTAAAGCAGGCATTCAGAAATTTTTAGTAGTCTAAAAGTTAGAGTATTATTACCTTTAAGGAATTAAGTCCAGTCATTATGGAGTAGAGTCAGAAAAACCAGGAAGCTTGTTAGATGCTAATTCCTCTAAAGAAGCTATAGATTTAGGAAAGTCAATAAGCAAACTAGGAAACCACAAATGCACTACATAAGCTCTACTGTGGGTTTGGAGATTAGGTGATTCAGAAACGATGAAAATAAGAGGCCATAGTTTATATAACCACAACTCTTCATTTTCTGTGTGTATGGCAGTCCTATAGTGAATCCTGTTTTGAGGCAGAGAGATATAGAGTCATAGCCTTACCTCCTCCTTTGATTTTCTGGAAACCCAAAAGCCACCTCCTGGTTCCCTGATGTGATGGATAATCTTATTTTTTTACTCTAGACTGCCTACCAGAAGATCAGAACTATAGGGAGAAACTGAAATCCTATGGTCTATTTGGATTTATTAATTACTTCTGAATGATATCCTTGTCTTATGTTAACCAGATCTGAGCTTTCATCAGAACTCTTGGTGGGTTTCTTCTGCCATCTTAAGGCTCAGTGTTGTAAGAGAAGATAGGGTCAAAACATTCCTTTGGTGATCTCTGAAAAACAGGGCTCACACAAAGAGGTCTGTTCCTTTAAGGATGCAATACTATTCCAAGAAAGAAAAAGCACTGAGGAAGAGAACATAAGCAGAATAAAGCTAAGGAGCCTAAGCTAGAGAATGATCTCCCAGGTTGAAAGTTAGGTGATGATTTTGTGTGATACTCTTAAATAAAAACTGTAGGAAAAAATATAACATAACCTTCCTTAAAAAGTTTTAATGTTTCTAACCCTTGGAGTTCAGAATTCACTCAGCTCTCCAATTTGGATCTCTTCTGAAAATTTAGTCTATATCCTCTGATCTTACCCTGAGCAGAAATGAGGAACAACTGTTCAATAGGATACAATGGGAAACCTAATAACTCATGTCTCAAAAAAAAAAAAAAAAAGGTACTTGAAATTGTCGACTACTTTTTTCTCTGGGCCAGACTCCATAAAGAAAACCAAAACCAAGGTAATACATGAATGAACAAATTAAACATAGATGAACAGGTATGGAAAGCAAGTCTCTCACCAGCCAGACCATTTTTCCACAGAACACCGTATTTACTCTATTACATAGAGGCTCCACAACTCAGTGCCTTGGCTTACCTAGGATATTAAACTTTGAAAAAAATGAAGGCGATTTGAAATTGAGCAGTGGCAGAAGGAGCCCTATGAGGTAAAAGGGCACTGTCTTGGACTTATTCCACCACTTTTCAAACTGTTGGACTCCCGTTTCATTGGCGTAGAAAATTATCATAGAGCTATTGTCAGGATGGCCACCACTACTGGCACTTGGACAAATCACTGCAACAGGAAAGCATCAGATTAGAAAAGATCATGAAAAACAGAAAATAACTGTTCCCAGAGACTGATGTTTGCTCTACCTGCCTCAGCTTTTACCCTGAGCATTAAGTTTCTCCTTTCTGGGAAAAAGAGGGTTATACTTAGACAAATTAGGAATCTTCTAACTATAAATAAATAATTAAAAGTGGGGGAATCTTAAAAAATTTTCAAGAATATCCCTAACTTCTACTGGAAGCTGTAAGAATACCCCACTAAATATCCATTGGTTCCATTGCCAGAGAGAAAATATTAGACTGTATGCTGTTTGGTCTTATTTATGTACTATATAAAAAATATCACTGACGATAACTGTTTATTGCACTAAGTATTCATACAAAGGCCAAAGAGTAGTTCTCATAGATTTTTTAGATTCTGTAGATTTCTAAACAAAAACTATGGGTTTTGAATAAAAAGTAGATATCATTGCAACAGCTACCATGATACTCCCAAAACCTAAGCACTGATTAAAGCTTAAGAACCTTGAATTCCAGTAATCCACAGTAATTCTCCTGGCAGTTTATGACACTTGATAACAACCTAAGAGCCCAGGAGATACTAGAAAACTAGAAAGTCTGCAAAATGTATTTTTCCTAACACTGATCTGCAGGTGACAATTTCCGTTATCAAACAGATTACAAACCATTCTCACTGTGTTTCTAATTTCATAATAGAACTTTGTTGATAACTAGCTTAGTAAAAAAACTCTTAATGCTGGTGAAAAATACTCATACTAAGCAACCAAGGCTATTCATACTCATCATCTGTCAAAGGGAAAGTGATATATTCGTTTTAAGTTCTATTTTAAACATTTTTCTCTATCCATTACTTGGCATGCCACAAACCCAAGCATTTAATTTTCCTTTCCTTCTCTCTTAGTCAGCGCTTTAACGTGCTCTTTTCTTCTATGCTCTGGACAAAAGTAAATTAACTTGAATTTTTCTTGTGCTAATAAATACCGTGGTTAAGAGCATAGGCAACATTAATAACCTGACTGAATAATGACTCCCAACACTTCCATTTAATAGTTATATGGCTTTGGGCAAGTCACTAACTTCTCTGTGCCTTTGTTTCTTCATCTAGAAAGTAGGGATATCTACTTATAAGTAGTATATATCTTATAGGGTTGCTATAAAACATTTAGAACAATGTCTGAACAGTAAGTGTTCAATAAACATTACTTGTAATTTTTTAAATTAATTGAGATAGTTCATTTAATGCTGTCACTATTTGCCACATTATTTATCTCAAAATAAACATCAGAGGAAGAATCAAGAGGTGCTGTTATAAAATATCACTATGCAAAGTCAATGGACTTTGCTGATTGTGCTCTTCAAATGTAATTGTGTAATTATATATTCATGAAGTTAAGAATGAACTGACTCCCTATAGGAGAAGAAATAATACTATTAGATATTAATAACTACATTCATCAATTCATATCAGATAATTTTCTCTTTTAAGTCAAGGATGTTATTTGGTCCTTTGAAGAGATTTTAGTATAATTATTCAAAGGTATAGGTGTGTGTGTGTATGTGTGTGTGTTCTTCAGGTTAATCAGGTGAGATTAAGGGGCAAAGGATACACTGAATAGCAAACAATGGAGCATATGCTTCATGAGTGGATTTTTGTCTGTTTATTCATTATTATATCCCCAGAACCTAGAATAGTTCCTGATACATAATTGGCTTAATAAGTATTTGCTGAATGAATTGTCCTCTTAGTGATCAATGTTTACCTCCAGCAAAGTCACATCAATTTAATATTCCTGTAACCTAAATACATGAAAGCTTTAGGTGATATTCAAGGTTAACAGTATTAATTGGTAACAAAGTTACCATAGCTTTTGTGTATGTGATTTTTTATTGTGGTAAATATATATGTAATAAAACACTCAATATTTCTGGTGGATTGGAACTGCTGACCTCTTGGTTAGCAGCCGAGCTCTTAACCACTGCACCAACAGGGCTCCATGTACAGTTTAGTGATATTAATTATGTTCATTGCATTGTTCAGCCATCATCCTAATCCATTCCCAAAGGATACCATCACCCTTAAGAGAAGCTCAGTGTCCCCTAAGCATCGACTCCTCCTTTCCCTCTCCCTCCCACCCTACAGTGCAGTGGTTAAGCATTTGGCTGCTAAACAAAAGGTCGGCAGTTCAAATCCACCAGCTGCTCCTTGGAAACCCTCTGGGGCAGTTCTACTCTGTCCTATAGGGTCTCTATGAATCAGAATCAACTTGATGGCAATGAGTTTTATGGGTCCCACCCTGCATTACCTTTTATATCCACTTTCCCTTTGACTATCATACCGGATTAAACCCAAAGGCCCCAAGGATTTATTTTAATAAATAAACTAATTAAAGGAAACTTTCTAAGAAATTAAGTTTTTTTTTTTTTTTTTGGCTAAAGCTTCAGTTTATTTTTCCATATTCACTAATCTTTGTTTGTTATTAGGAAATTATTCTGTAAGTTGTAAATTACATCTGCATATTCTATATATTAGTGACTAAGACAATAAATATCTAAAACTAACAAACAGAAAACTATGTTTACAGAGATAAAATAATCATTATCCAATGATCATCAGTAATACAGGTTCTTAAAAATATTTATTGCTTATTCACAGGCAAATATGTATACTATAGCTGTCAGTTCAAAATTGTGAATTGTATACTGTGATCTAAATGTTACCTGACTGGAAGTTTTGTTTGTTTGTTTAAACACAGTGACTGCCAACAATTCAGTACTAGCTCAGTTAGCATAATGATATAGAGGTTCTGCTAATCATTTACCTAAAATAAAGTCATAGGTTCTATCCTAAATCCTTTTTGGAGCAAGGTGGGGAATAAAGAACAAACTAAACTCTAAATTCCAAACTACTTACCAGGGTTGCTATCATTGGTACTCAGTACAGAATCTGTGTCATTAATGTGATGAATAAAATCTAAAAATTAAGGGAAAAAATAAAATTTAAAATTGAATGAAGATGCTAAATCTATCACCTTCTAAAGTCTTTCATCTATAAATATTTTTAACCACTACGCCACCACGGTTTCCGTAGTTTGAATAGTATTTCTCAAAAATTCATGCCCATCCAGAACCTCAGAATGTGACCTTATTTGTAAATAGGATCTTTGCAGATGTAATCAAGTTAAAATGAAGTCATACTAGATTAGAGTAGACCCTAAATCCAATGACTGGTGTCCTATAAAAGGAGGGAAATTTGGACACAGACACAAGTGAAGATGGCCTTGTGAAGACAGAGGCAAAAACTAGAGTGATGCAGCTACAAGCCAAGGAATGTCAAGGATTGCTGGTAACCACCAGAAGCTAGGAAGAGGCAAGGAAGGATTCTTGGTAGAGCTTTCAGAGGGAGCATGGCCCTGCTGACACCTAATGTCTGGCCTCCAGAACACTGAGAGAATAAATTTTTGTTGTTTTAAGCCACCCAGTTTGTGGTAATTTATTACAGCAGCCCTAGGAAACCAATACACTGAGACTCATCAAGGACAGCATAAGAAGGAAAATATAGGCTAATATCTCTTAAGAACCGACATAAAAATTCTAAATAAAATATAAGCCCATCACCAACCCCAAAGCAAACTGAATCTAGGAAGGAATTAAAAAATATAAAACATGACTAATTTAAGTTTATCCCAGAATATAAGAATGGTTTAAATGTTAGAAAATGTATTCATTTAATTCGTTACATTAACCATTTAAAGGAGAAAAACTTTATGATCATCTCAAGAAATAAAGATTAAGTATTTAATAAAATTCAACACACATTAATAAAAGTACTTAAGAAAGCAACAGTAGGTGAGAACTTCTTTATAAACTTCTTTATGACTTACAACCAATATACCACAACAAACATAACATTTAATGGTGAAACATTACAAAGATTTCTTCAGGAACTTATAAGGATGTCCACTAGCATGTTTGTGTGCAACTTTACACTTAAAAAAAATACATACATGCCTGTACATACACACACATACATATACATATACATATGTATGTGTGTGTATGTGTAGATATATATATATATGTGTGCATTTATATAAATATAAATATGTGCATATATATCTATATATAATAAGAATTAGACAGGAAGAAACTTTCATTACACATAGCTTACATAATTAAACAACAAATCCAATGTGAGTCTACAAAATTATTAGAATCTGTAAGAATTTAGCAAGTTGGTTAGATTTAAGATAAACATTAAAAAATAAATTAGGTTCCTTTATAAAGCAACAAATATTTTGAATATGTAAACAAATAATATATCATTACTTTCTGAGGAGATGGAAATGTTCTATTTCATCAGAGTTTGTGGGTTACATGGATGTAGCCTATCCAATTGTCAAAATTTTATGGCTAAGATCTATAGACGTAACACAATCTCTATCAAAATTCCAACAGCCTTCTTTGCAGAAATGGAAAATCCAGTGTTCAAATTTATATGGAATTGCAAGGGGCCAGAAAAAGCCAGCCTAATCTCAAAAAAGAACAAAGTAGGAAGACTTACACTTCCCAAATTCAAAACATACAAAAGTTAGAGTAATTTAAAAAGTTTGGTAATAGGAACATAGACCAATGGAATGGAATTAAGAGTCCAGAAATAAATTAATTCATCTATGGCTAACTGATCTTCAACAGGGGTGTTAAGTCCATCCAGTGGGGAAGAAGTCTCTTCAATAAATGGTGCTGGGAAAACTAGATCTTCACATGCAAAAGAAAGAAATTGGACCCATACTTCACACTTTATACAAAAATTAACTCAAAATGGATCAAAGATCTAAATGTAAGAACGAAAACTATAAAACTCATAGAATAAAACATAGAAGTATTGCTTTGAGACCTAGTTTTTAACAACAGAAAAAGCACCAAGAGGATGTCACGTCATGATCACGGATAGGAAGACTCAGCATCTTAATGACATCAATTTTCTCCTTATCTATAAATTCAATGCAATTCCAATCAAATCTTAAACTCAATACCCTAGTGACATCAATTCTCTTCTCACTGACTGATAAATTCAATGCAATTTCAATCAAATTCTTATTGGGATTCTTCTGTGAAACATAATAGGTGATTCTAAAATGTATGTGGAAGAGTAAAAGACCATAACGGAAAAGACTGATCAATTGGAAAGTAAAATAAAAAAACTTTTGAACGTTAGAGCCACCATATACAAATGAAGACACTCCATTAGCTACAAGATATTTGAACCAAATAGTGAATAAAAAACTAGTATTCAAACTTTACAAAGCCTTCCTAAAAATAAATAGGAAAAAACATCAACAATTCAATAGAAAAATGGGAAAGGATATGAAAAAGCATTTGAATGCCAACCTAATTAAGAAAAAAATGTCTTATGAGAAGAAATGAAAATTAAAACCATATCCTGAGTGACAAAATGAAAAAGTCTGATAATACCAACTTTGGGTGAGGATGTAGAAAAAGGGAAACTTTCATAAACTGTTGATAAGAATGTAACTGGTACAAGCATGCTAAAGAACAATGTGGCAATTTCTAGTAAAGTTGAAAATATGAATATCCTAAATTCCAGCAATTTTTTTTATAGATACAAAGCCTGGAGAAACTTTCCCGTATGTATGCAAGAAGACAGAAACAAGGATGTTTACTTGAAGCTTTGTTTGTAATAGCAAAAAAACTGAAAACACATTAAATTCCATCAACAAGGGAATGGATAAAGAAGTTGTGGTAAGTTCATATTATGGAATACTATAAAGCAGGGAAAACGTACAGACTGTGTATTAACAAAAATGATGACTGACAAAAAGCAAGTTACAAAAGCATTTATATAGATTAAAGACATGCAAAATAATACTATATGTTGCACATATACTGATGTAGTAAAAGTACAAAATCATGCATAAGAATGATAAACACCAAATTTAGGGAAGAAAGAAAATGAAATTAAGAAGGAGTACACATGGGCTTCAACTATATGTATAATATTTTCTTCCTATTAGAAAAGAGAACTAATGCATACATGACAAAATATTAAGACTTGTTAAAGCTCACTAGTGGGTACACTAGGATTTATATTAGCTTCTGCATGTTGTAGTCTGAAATATTTCATAATTTCATACAGTAAAAAAACTTTATAATAAAAAAACTTAATTAACTAAAATGCCAGTATTATTGTTTAAGATCAAAACAGAAATTATCTCCCCCCTTCAACAGTAAAGCTTTTAGGGAAATTAGCTGTTGTGAGTATGTTAGAATTTATTTTGAAATTTGGTTTTCATGTAAATCTAGATTTTAAATATATAGGGCTTACTTAAAACGGAGACTTGGTGGCACACTGGTTAAGAGCTTGGCTACTAACCAAAAGGTCAGCAGTCTGAATCCACCAGCCATTCCTTGGGAACACTATGGGGCAGTTCTACTCTTTCCTATATGGTTGCTATAAGTCAGAATCGACTCGATGGCAATGGTTTTTTTTTTTTTTTAATTTAAAGCAGCTATACACATATTAAAGTTTAGGTCTACTAGTCATGAGGAAAAAAAAATTTAGAATCTTATTTAATATAAAATGAACTTTTTCTATCCAACTCAAAAATAGTATAAAATGTACTCGGGCTGAGTCCACCTGAATAGACTACAGTTCTGTGGTATGTCAATAATTTATTTACCATATAATTTCCATTATTCTACTGTTTCCTAATTTTAGACCCTAATGTTCTGAAAAGTCTACATGTCCAATTCTTTAGCAACAAACACTAATGAATTTCATAACCTTTTTTGTTACACTAAAATTTTGTGGTAAAGGTTGAAATAGTGCTTAAAACATCTTCTGGGGCTTAGGAATACTTTGGTAACTAGAGATTTTGAAAAAAAATGTTATTTACTCAAATAATTTTTGCAAAGGAACATACACATTATATTTGAGATCATAACCATAGGAGACAACCTGAGTCAAATATATTTTCCAGAATTACAAAGATTACATCTTATTTTATTTATTCCCAGACCTGAAATTTAAGACTGGAACTAAAACATTATAGCAGCAATGTGTTAATGAATGATATGGATACTTACTAAAAATAAATTCTCCAGTATTAAAAAGAAAATTAGACATAAGCACCCAATAAACTATCATTGCTCCAATGAGAGACACCAAGGAGAAAAGAAGACTTGACCACTGCCCAAAAGAGCCAAAATAATATCTGCAAACATCTGGATATTCCCAGGTAGTGGTATCTAATGAAGCTACATAAAAATAAAAGAGAAAGAATAAAATTAGATGTTGATCACATTTTCATATTTATGATTTGTGTTCTCCAAATTAAAAAATATTTAGCAAGAGATTATGGCTATTTCACCAACAGATATTAGAACATATTCTCAAATAACAGCAATTAAAACACTATAGAATGAACACATAAAAAAGAAATCAATGAAATATAACACATAAAAAAGAAATCAATGAAATAATCTGAGAAATGGATTATAGTATCATAAATTTCATTTATTAATAAAAGTAATTTATAAACCAAGGCTACACAAACCCATCAGTAAGGGATCGGAAACATTATTTAATAATAATATTTTGGCATAGCCAGATAGCAACATGGAGAAGAGTTTTCTCAGATTCACACTTTATACCACATGGCAATTTAAATTCCAGATAAGTGAGTTAAGAATTACAAAATTAAAAAAAAAATAGAACATAACATGGAAATAGATTCTGAAAGGTTATCCTTTTCTATCAACTGAAGAAATAAAAATTACAGTGTAAAAGACAGGCAGATATAAACAAAACTTTGTATTATAAAAATCAATCAAATACTGAATGGGAAAGAAATTTACAAGAAATAACAAATAAAGGGTTAATGTCTACACCATATGAAGAACTTAGCACATCTACAAAAGCACCAATGGACTTGTAAATAAATGGGAAAGGGATATGAATAAATAATGCAATTAAGAAAGTATAAATAGTAAATCACTACTTATGAAAAAATGTTTAACAGTAACATGAGTCCTGAAAAGGTACCACTTTTCAAGCATTAAACAAAACAAGATAAACAAACCAAAAGAATAAGGGAACCACACAAAATAATGGCAAGATTCAGGGAAACATTATAATTTATTCATATCTGATGCCACTATAAATTAGTACAACTCTTTCAGAAAGAAATGTAACAATTTTTCTTACTCCCTACTTGTAGAAATAAAGTTTAAGAAAGTAATTTAAAAGAATGCAGAGGTATGCATAAAATATTTTTAGAGGAGAATTATTTACAATAGCAAAAAGGGCAATGGTTAAACAAATAGTGTTACAGTGTGCAACTGTATATAATTAAGAGACAAAAAAACGTTGACAAAGAATTTACTAAAAAATAAGTGATGAAGTAAAAACAAAACTGTAATACAATATGATAACTCTAGGAATTTATATAAAAACACAAAGAAGAAAAAATATTGCTATGGTGGGGGTACAACAATATTGAAAATTTTTTTGTTTTATATTTTAATGTTAAATAAAGAGTAAGAATATAGATATATTTAAACCATAAAAGATTATTTTAGTTGTCGTCAAAGGATAATTTCACTCTGTGTTCTTCTGTAGGAGTCCCTGGGTAGCACAAACAGTTAAGAGCTTGGCTGCTAACCAAAAGATTGGAGGTTCAAGTTCACCCAGAGGTACCTCAGAAGAAAGGCCTAGAGATTTAATTCTGAAAATTCAGCCACTGAAAACTCTATGGTGTGTAGTTCTACTCTGACACACAAGGGGTTGCCATAAGTCGGAGACAACTCGATGGCAAAAACGTTGGGTTTTTTGGTTCTTTTATGACTCCAAGCTCAGAACTCCTTTGAGCTAACCATCATGTTTGATGAATCTACAGAAACTGATGTTCTGTCATCTCTTTGGCAAAATAAGGTGGCTATTACATGAAAGAAAGTGGTGATGAAACCTGACAAGCTGAAGACATTAGAACATGATAATTTACAGATAAAGAAGCTAAGGATAATACCAGTGTCAAGAATAATTGTTTCAAAGACTCGTCTAGTTTCACACTGGGGGGAAAGAGAAAAGCTATACATACATAAGTAGCAACAATGATGCATCTGTTTATTCCCCATATACTGGCCCACTGTAAGTACAGCACCACTATATTTAATTCTTCTATTCATTTTTATAGATACTGGGGTCTCCAGAATCAAAAGGCAAGCGAAGCTGTTTCAGTGAACTTGCTTTTAGCCTATATTGGGCCCTGATGAACACAGAGAATAGTATTCACATAGCACAGAAAAGGTGTTTAATGACTGTTGGATAATAAATATCTCCTACGGGTTTACAAATTACATATGCAAATAAACTAATGTTTTGATCTAAGGGTTTCATATAACTTTTAAGAAAGGTCTTTATGGATTTGGTTTTCCACAAGTTAGTTTGAATACAGACCCTACCTTGGAGGCACGTAGTTTTTTTCAAATGCCCTCCTGGTTAATTCATTATCTGTCAGGATGATTTTTGATGATGATTCGTAACTCTGATATATTTTTTCTTAAAGCTTCTAGATTTTCTGTATTGGCTACAAAAATCTCCTCAATTACTAGGTTATCAAATAACCTTTTAAATTTTCTTCTAAGATTATGGGTTTTTTTTTTCCACATTTGTCTTTAATCCATCTAAAATACATTTTTGTATGTCTGATGTTGTTGTTAGTGGCCGTTGGATTGACTATGACTTATGATGACCCCAAGTGTGCAGAGTAGAACTGTACTCTATACGGTTTTCAAGGCTGAAACCTTTTGGAAGCAGATCATCAGGCTTTACTTTTGAGGCATCTCTGGGTGGGTCTGAACTGTCAACCTTTAGGTTAGTAGTCCAGTGCTTAATTATTTGTGCCATCCAGGGACTCCTATCTAATAGTTTTATATAGAGGTTTTATACCTACAAGTTTTTTTTCTTTTTGATACTGTCAGGTTTTGTATTTGGGTTGTGCTGACTCTGCAAAATGAACTGATGAAAGTTCAACTTTTCAAATGGTATGTAACAGTTTAAATAACATTGGCGTTACCTGTTCTTTAACAGTTATAGAGTGAACTGAGCTGAGGCTATATTCTCATTTAAAAAGAGACCCCAAATTAGACAAGCACAAATCAAACAGAAAACTTATTGCATATATTTAAAAAGATCTTCTAAGTTCAGTTGAAATTTGCCTCAGAAACCAAAAGTTAAAAATAGTTCCCCTTTCCATTTTGGAACTAGAACAAATTTCTCAAGATTTTTAAGCAATACTCCCTCAGTGATTAAGACTAGATTTGGTTAACATAAAGAAGGAAACTGCTTAGTAAAGACAGAAAAAAAAAAACTGGACACAAAACCTGGTCTGTTGACTCACACTTGCTAAGATTCAATAAAATAATGCACATCTATTTAGGTCTTAAACTGCTTAAAAACAACTTAAAAAAGATGTTTTGCTGATCCAGAATGTAGAGATGAATGGAGGTAATGCACTGGTACAACTTAAAAAATTTACTACAAAAGCCACATTGCTTATATTTTAACATCTTTCTAGTTGTAATTTCTTACTTTTAGGAGATTCCAGCATTTAGGTCTTTTGGTATGTATAGATCAAAACGAGTCACCATTAACTGATTAGAATCTTAGAATTCTCAATTTAGTTTTGGCATAGGCCTTATTTAAAAATATAACTTAAAAAAAAAATTGTTATTCTTATGAGGGGACTAGTACCAAAGTGAATTTATTCTGCAAAGAATTCCCAGCCTCATTCATTTCAAACGCAACCACTGATGCATTAACATACCAGTTCAGCAGAATGCTATGAATTAAAGAAGTAAATCTCTACGCACAAAATAGACAGTTAACACACATTTGTGTAACATACGTATTAGTTATCTACTTTAGTGGGAAATATTAATACACACATCACTAATCTATTTTCACTGTGTAAAATTCTTACATATCATAGTCCGTGATTTCACTACTCTGTAGCAGCAATAAAGTGTTAAAAGGCCCATCAGCACGATGACACACATTCCAGTAGTAAATCCAGCCTGTGTAAATATAAAAATACACAGCAACATATAGCGTCATGTAAGAACAAATTCATATACAACCATACATATTATGTTACCCTAAACAATCATGAAGGAGCCCTGGTGGCACAGTGGTTAGGCACTCAGCTGCTAACCGAAACGTCAGTGGTTCGAACCCACCAGCTACTCTGCAGGAGAAAGATGTGGTAGTCACCTTTACAGCCTTGGAAATGGCCCCATAGGGCAGTTCTACTCTGTCCTTTAGGGTCACTATGAGTCAGAATCTACTTGATGGCAATGAGTTTAAACAATCACGATAAAAACCTGGGAACTAACGGAACACTAAACCTAATCATCTACCTTCTTTAAAAACCTTTCTGTAGACTTATTAAAACCTCTACTGTAAAACTTATAAAGAGAAGAAAGTTCAGGCAAAAATTGTGTTAAAAAATCATATTACCTGTTTTATGCCCCAAGGAATACTTAGTATAGATGTTCCCATCATGGTATTCCAAATCATAAAACTGAAAGCACAAAGTAGCAGCAGTAAAAATATGGAGTTTGACTCTTTAAACATTATAATTAAGACAAAAATGATCAGTAATTTTCATTCATATATAGTTTTAGTTATGCTCCAGAAAGTAGTTTTACTCACATGGTTACCAAACTGGAGTTTTTACCGTATCCTTCAGTGTAACTTTCTAGTTTATAAGCAGAACCCAGTGGACTATACACATAGCACTCCTCTAGTGCTGGAACTACATGATCTGGGGCAATCTGGTAAAAAGAAAAATAGAGAAATGTGCTGCAGTGTGAGAACCAGTAATGTGCAAAATAGGGTATTTTCTATACAGCAGAATACCTGACTCTAGACACATTTCTAAATATGATGAACAAATAAACAGTATGCAGCTCTGATTAATGATTTTTTTCCTAATGTAATAGACGATCTAAAGGAGTAAGAATTTAAAGACCATAAACTCTCCATCTGAAATAAGAATAAATTTCTTGAATATGTCAACAGTCAAAATATTTTCTCGGAAGAAGAGTCAGCAAAGACTGAGATCAAGAATTATAAATGAAGACTTGGGGCTTATGTGAGGGGAATTTCAAGAACCAAGTGGTCACTGAACACTTATAGAAGGGTGAGTTAAGCAAACTGGTAGGTGAGAAACTCAGACTATAAAGAATTGAGGAGTTCATAGGTGAAGAAAGCAATAGTAAATATGGACTATTCTTTTAAATGTTTTGGTTGCAGAAGAAAAAAGTGAGCTAAAGCAACAGCTTAAGGAAAAGGCAAAAGCAAGGATTTTTAAAGATGGAAGAGATCTAAGCATGTAAACAAAAGAAAGGCAAGGAGCCAACAGAGAGAGATTGAAAACAAAGAGAGAACGATTGAATAGATATGTTTCTTATGAGTATAGCTCACCCTGTGCCCATACATGTCTTCCTAATCCTACCCTCTTAATTTGGAGGGATAAAAAATAGTTTTCTGAGGTAATTTTGCCCACCTCCCTGAGAATATCTCTTGAGAATATATAGTCCTTACATATAGTAGCTAAAAGCATAGGAATTGACTTCAACAATCTTTTACGTAGCACCTATTATGTAAATCTACAACTTTTAGCTAGGTTTAGCATTCAAGAGAAAAATAATATATAACCCTTAAATTCAAAGAATTGAAATTCCAGTTGAAAGACACATGAAACAATTAGACAGAACTGGAGGCCCTGTGTAGTGCAAACGGTTAATGCGCTTTGGTGCTAACTGAAAGGCTGGAGGCTTGAATCCACCCAGAGGTGCCTGGGAAGAAAAACCTGGTGATTTACTTCCAAAAAATCAGCCACTGAAGACCCTATGGAGCCCAGTTTCTACTCTGACTCACATGGGTTCGCCACGAGTCGGAATTGACTTGACTGGCAAACGGTTACTAGTTACCATACAGAATAAAAATTAGGTGTTAAACTCGGTAGTGTGCTGTATTACAGGAATGACAAACAAAATTAATGAGGGCAAGAACAGTTGGGGAAAACTTCAAAGAACAGATCGAATATTAGGCTTCAGTTGGGAGACAGGATTGGTAGGGAGACATGGATTTGTACAAAAAGAAAAAGTGTGAAGTCTTTCTCCCTTATGTGTACGATTGGTGGTGTCTTTTGGGCAAAGAATGTCTTGAATGCCATGCATGGTGTGGATTTGGAAACACCTACTTTCTAGAGATACGAAAGCATCTATGAAATGGGTCTGCTGCCTTGTTTTTACCTACAGTTCTCTTGGGTCTGAGTTCTGTCGTCTTCTGCCATGGAATGAAAAAGAAAAAAGGTCAGGACCATGTCTGTAGCAAGCAGGAGCTAAATCACCATAGCTAGCAAAGCAAGCTCAGAAAAGAGAAAATTGAAAGTTATGTGGGGCAGGATTAGAAGCTAACGGATAAGAAGTGGCAAATTCTTAGGAGATACAGAAAAATTAGAAGGTTGGATCCCACTGGCAGCAGTCTAAGGCAGTGCTTTTCAAACTTTGAAGTTCATATGATTCACACAGGAATCTTGCCCTAAGTGCAAATTTTGATATAGTAGGTCTGGAGAGAGGCATCAGATTCTGCACTTTTAACGAGCCCCAGTGATGCGATACTGCTGGCGTGTGCAAATCATCCTTTTAGTAGCAAGTGTCCAGGGAATGCTGGTAGCCAAATAATTTCCTTTCCTTCCCCATTTTAGAATAAAAAATTAAATAAATGGGAAATTTTTCATAAGTAAAAATGTATAACTCTGTAAAGACCTTAAACTTGTATTTTCTTACTGTTCTTCTCTTAAAAATCTTTTTGGAGAAATAATTTTAGGATTCTCAGAAAATGAGTGTGACTGTAATGGTCATACCACATTGTTAATTTTAGATCACTTTAGATACTTCCATTTACTAGAGTCATTTCAGTGTCAGTTAACAAAAGGGATTCAACTTGGTGTGCAATGCTGACTTAACTTCCAGGCAAACAATGTACGTTCAGGCCTAGACTGATCCAGACAGTATCTGAAGTTTGCTTCTTAGAACTACCAGGGAGTCTGACATAGGCCTGAAGATACTAGATTACTTCAGGGCTCTGATTATTTTATTATGGAACCAAATCTTTACCATGACTATTGATATAATGGTTTAGGGGAAAATATGCCAAAAAATTTGGGGAAAAATTACCCAACTCAGAATATTTTGGAAGTCCCTACTTTGGCTAAGGAGAACCCAATACTTACTTCACATGACTATTGTAAGGATTCAGTGAGATATCTATGTTCAAGTGACTAACTCAATCTTAGCTCCACAGTAAACATTTAGTGAATATTAGTTTCCTCCTCCCCTTTTCTTACTAATACCTATTAAAAAATCAGAACTTTTTCTCCCAGAATATTTCCACTTTTCTTTAAGCTTTCAAGTTTACGAATATCTCATATATGATCATTTTTATAAGCAATCAAATTACTTATAATATATATTTTTGACCCTAAAATAATAATACAAGTTTTAGAAGATTGAGGGTCAACAAACTATGGTCCATGGACCAAGTCTGGCCTTTAGCCCGGGTGGCATAGTGGTTAAGCGTTTGGCTGCTAACCAAAATGTCAGCAGTTCGAATTCACCGGCTGCTTCTTAGAAGCCCTGTGGGGTTACTTCTACTCTGTCCCATAGGGTTGCTATGAGTCGGAATCAACTCGACAGCAACGGGTTTGGTGTTTTTTTTTTTACTTTTTTTTTTAGCTAAGAATGTTTTTTATATTTTTAAATGGTTGTAAAACAAAAACAAAGAAGAATATGTGACAGTATATGGCTCACAAAGCCTAAAATGTTTAGTATCTGGCCCTTTGATCCTTGTTTTTGATCTGTAAAAGGACCCTGCTAAACAGGAAAATATTATATGTACGTATGCATATATTTCAATTTCCCACTCCTGTATAAAATTTCTGAAACATTTTTCCCTTGTAACTTCAAACTTAAAAACTGAATAGACCAACCAGAACCTGTCATTGCTTGTTATTAATTAATGACCCAAACTACCACTTCAAAAGTAATATATTCTACTCAGTGCTTTTGGGATTGGGGATTAGCAGAATTTAATCCAAAATATCTTCAGGCTGCTGCCAACATAGATTGTTTCAAATACCACTATGCCAGGCCAGATAAGAATGAGCTAGCCTGTGATGTAGGACATGTATTAATTACCATCTTCAACTTTCCATGATGCTGTCCTTAGAATATGGCCAGCAAAATATTCAACCACTGGGAGTTGCCCTGACTTATGTTGTTCACTATTCATTTCAACTTACTATTAGACAATTAGTAATGCTTAGCCCCTTACCAAAGCCTTGTCTGCAGGAGCAGTGAGCCGGCTGTAGTAATGAATCCTTTTGTTCATGGCAGAAGCATGGTCGCTAACTCTCTGAATGGCATCATTCACATTGACGATGTTTGTGGGCTCTATATAGAAAGGCCTAGAGAAGGGAATATACACTTGACAAAGAACGTTCAGCCAGAAATTCTGGAAGTCAGCCATTGGAGAAAATAGCTTCTTGTCCTCCATTAGAAATGGGACGCACCAAGGCAAGGAATTCACTTCTCACTTTTGGTGGGAAAGAAAATGCCACAAAGAAAGTATTATCCAATCCACAGAATAAAGCTTTTGTCTCCTAATATTTTTACTTTAAACTTTGCTTTTTTAATCTCAAGGAATTTAGTAAAAGAGGAGGCATAACAGAAAGAGCTTAAACCAGTTATTAAAAAGAAATATAGCAGCTGTCAGTTTTTAACAACGAAATTTAAACAGTTCTGAATATTCTCTTAAAAAGATTTTGGCACTAAATCAAAGAAATTACAGACAAAAATGTTCCTCTACTGAGGAGTCTCTCCTCCTTCCCTATGAGATGAAGTTACTTCCTATGATAAAAGGAATTCCTACTTCTTGGTTCAGGTACTAAGGATTAGTGATCTCAATCATCTTCCTTGTGAGACTTCTCCAAAGTAGTATCAAATGGGACACCAGGACACTAGAGACATTTTGCCTCATTTTACTTTTCTCAGATTTTAGTAACATACTCAACTAGGCTATTTTTTATGTCTATGCTTCCTTCCCAGGACTATGTCTCAATCAACTGAAGATTCTGGTTTTCAATCATTTTCAGTCATCAACCCCTTCAGCTCCTTACTGAAACTCCCTCCATTTGGTTTCTAAGCTTCCAGTAATATACTGTCCAAAATGGAAAGACTAGCCAGAGTTGCATGAAAAATCTGCATTCCCTTGGTGATTCCCAGGCCCCTTAAAGCCACAAAAGACACTGTGCCCCAAACTATATATAATTTGTCATTTAAAATTATCCAAATAATGAAGAAAAAAGTGCTAAGAGATTTATGACTGTGTCTACAGAGCTCTACATTTACGGTTGTGAAAGAAGCTTAAAATATTATCAAGGTACGATAATCATTTCTGGAGGCAGTGTTAATCTAATTTTGTAAGAAGCACTTGAAAAAACAAAAGAATGAAATTTTATTTTTTTCTACTTTTCTCATCTAACTCTGTGACATTAGAGAAATGGTAGTATAGATGTTAAACTTAGTCTTGTCTCTCTACTTAGCATACTGGATCTTTGAATCTTTCTTCTACTATTTACTCTAAATCATAGCACCTAAGTATGGTGGCTACTATTTAGTATAATTCAACAAGTACATAAACATAGCACTTACTGGAGCAACCACGTGGGTGTATGGATCATCATGACATACTACCTATACTAAGCGTGTAAATGCTAACTGAATTAAGTGGTATCAATCCATCTCGAGGGGAAAGAATGCAAACGAATACAGCAGAGTAAAGAGGCTGAATAAATAATTCCTAATTATAAATTTCGTAGCCTGAGATTACTATCAATCTTCCCAAGGCATTATGGTGTCTTATATAATTTACATCTCTACTATGACACTCAGTGGTACTAAAGAGTCAATGTAAAAATATTTGTATCTGGGAGACATTTTAATCATATCTGGGCTCACATTCTTCCAGGTATTCACTTCTTGCTTTGCAAGAATGATGACCCACAAAATTCAAGAAAGAATTACAGCTTTAATGCCTACCCAAAACAGACACTTAAGCTAATCATGGATTATTAAAAGAGACTATTAACAAGGACAATATTGACAGAAAGAGATGTAGATGTTCTACTTCAAGCTTCTTACTCTGAAAATTCAATGGTATTAATATCAACCACCAAGTTGGTTTGAAGGCCTGCTGAAAAAAGCAGTCCAGGAAGTGTGCTAAATTTCTTGGCTCCTGGCCTCTTAGAGAAGTGTTAACTGTACCAGTTTAGTTGGCTTGGGTACTCTGAAAGCAGAATGATTCTGAAAGTTTTTCTTTTCCAACAGTTTTCATCGAGATGCTGAGAGCCTGTTCAAACAAATATTTTGTAATCTTTTCAAAACAGATTCTCTTTAAAAATATACAACTCAATGTATTTTAACAGAATTATTAGAAACATATGCTTAAAGTTTCATCCAAGAAAATAAAATATAAACTATATTTCTAAACCAATCTTCAGTTGGATCTGAAAACTTTTTTTTTTTTTAAATTAAACAATATTACACAGAGAACAATATTCAGAATAAAAGACTTTTTTTTAAAACTTGGGCTTTTTCCTTTTGAACACGGTTTCACATGACTGCTTCCTATCAATTTTTACTTCTCATTTGAAATGTAGTTCAACTCTGCCATTCTGCAAATAAATTATATTTCATGTAGGGTAAGTTATATTTGTCTTACCTTACAAATATTTATGGTCATGCCACAGAAAAAATACCTTTAATATTCAGCAAAATTTAAAAAATATTTTAGAAAGTGCCATCCAAGGCACAACAATTGGTCTCTATTCACTTGGAGCAATAGAGGAAAAAGGAACATCAGGAATAGGAGGAGGATATGGAATGTGTGGCTAATTGCCTCCATGAACAACTGCCTCCTTTGCCATGTAACCAGAACTTGATGGTGACTAGCTACCATTAAGGAACATTTTGATCAAAGATTCTATAGAAGAAACCTGATCAAAAGGGATAAAATGCAGAACAGAATTCCAAATTCTCATGGACTCTAGACTTTCTGGAGCCATGAAGGTTGGATGAACCCCTGAATACTGCACTGAGATAATCTTTAAAACTTAAAAACAAAATATATACCCTGAAGTCTTCTTAAAACCAAACAATAGTTTAGCTTAGCTAGTAAAAAAAAGCCTTGAGCATTATGCTCTTTTAAGAACTATCTCTAGGGGATCAAATTGACAACAGCAACTTGAAACATTAGATAGGAACCTTAGGGGGCAGTGAATTTATGTTAATGTTGGAGGCAAAACTCAGAAAAGGAGGGTGAGAATGCTTGCACAACTCGAAGAATGTAATCAATGCCACTAAATGGTACATGTAGAAAGTGCTGAATCTGTATATGTTTTGCTGTATATATTCTCAACAACAAAAACTAAAAAAATTTTAATCAAAATATTATAAGCAATGAATAAAATCGAAACCCTATGTTCTCTTTTAATGCACTTACAAACAGAGAAAACTTATTTCTACCTAACATCTTTCCCAGGTTCCACTGCTTAAATTCCTTAAATATTTTTGGCTTTCTAATCTGTCTCCACCCTTCTAACAATCAGTTATACTTCTTTGAAGTTTAATAACAATTTCATGACTACTAGGAAGTTTCACACCCAACATGGAGACCTTGACTTAAAACTTCATTTATTCACATTCCTATGAAAGCTGATGCACTCAAACACCTGCCAGGCTGGGATCATTTGTTAAAAATTAAAATGGAATCAGGCATTCAAAGAATCTGATGCAAATAAACATTGAAAATAATGAACAGCCCAACTCTATTTCTACCTGCTTGGTGAAACACTCTATGCCTGCTAGGCAGCTCTTCAATAAAGAAGACTGAAGAGCAGTTAGTCAAGCCACTGTGCCTAGGAATTCCTTTGCTGCTACTAGAAAAATACTGGCAACCTCTGGCTTGCTGATATGTTTCTCACTTCCTCTGATGCCTATACAACATCCTCTTTCATAAAAATGCTGCTCAACACTCCAACTTACTGTCCCCAAAGGCTGAGCTTATATAAGGCTCCTCTCTTTCTATTTTAGCTAATTAATATGTATTGGCTGTCAATTTATTAAATAAATATTATTTAAGTGCCAACAAAGTGCTAAACATTGTGCTAAACATTAAACAATGAATAAGATACAGAACGTCAAGAATCTTAATCTCCTGGAGGAGATAGATAAATAAGCAATTCCAAACCAAAGTGAAAAAGAGAAGGGAGAACACAACAATAGGAATAAGAAAGAGGTAAGAGGGTTGTGTGACGCTGAGTATATGTAAGGTACTGTGGATCACGTAAAGAGGAAGCTAAAAAATGTATGGTAGACCACTGAGGAAGTTATAACTGAGCTGAAACTTAAAAAATACAAAGGAGTTATCAGGTATGGGGAAAAGTATAGTGTTTCAAAAAATGGAAAAGACCTGAGGGACCAAATTGCTGGGTGGAGGGCTGTGGGGACCATGGTCTCGGGGAACATCTAGCTCAACTAGCATAACACAGTTTATAAGGAAAGTGTTCTACATTCTACCTTGGTGAGTAGCATCTGGGGTCTTAAAAGCCTGTGAGCAGCTATCTAAGATACTCCACTAGTCTCACCCCTTCGGGAGCAAGGGAGAATTAAGAAAACAAGACACAAGGGAAAGATTAGTCCAAAGGACTAATGGACCACAACTACCACAGCCTCCACCAGACTGAGTCCAGTACAACTAGACAGTG